GCCATCCGTCAGCCGTCAGTCACTTCATAGAGAAAACATCTGCAGGCAGTCTGTTTATCGGATGACTCCAAGCGACCATGAGCACCTGCATCCGAACGCGGGGCACCAGGTGAGTCCAATGAGCATACAATCTCGTCACCTCATCGCGGGAATGGCACCACACATGCTCGGCGACCCTTCAATGTTCGCTTTTTGCCAGGCAACTTTGCAGTAAGATGGCGGACTTTTCATTGATTTGTCTGCCAAACCGCTGGCCAAGCCTCAGATCAAGTTACCTGTCTTGATGCGTGGCTCAAAAAGAATTTTCTGGAAATGCTTGCAGCTTCTTGAACCAATGTGTACCTCTGAGAACATGCTTTGATGTGTTGGTCATCGGTACAAGGGCGAGGCGAATTGCATCCGCAACCAAGATGGACTTGTCCACCGTCATAGCGTTAACGGTAGCCCATGTGCTCTCTCCAAGGCACATGCAATCCAATTTAATGATTTTTGACATGCTGAGACATTTTACAACCTCCACCCGAATCGATGGAAAGTTGCATCTGGTTTATACTTGACACCCGGGATCTAGCACGACACCACCAATCATGTCTGTGCCTTGAGCCCGTCGACCATTGGTCTCTGCTCTCGTGGCATGGTGCAACATGCAGGGCACTCACAGAAGAAATACGCGAGGGAAGCGCGAGGGAGGAAGAGACAGAGACAGACAGAGAGCGCCCCTGGAATACTGCCCAAACACAAGAGTATCTAAAACGCAAAACCCAAAGCAAACGTTGTGTAGAAGTTGTCACTACCGGCACATGCAAACAAATAACTTTCACGTGCTGTCTCATAGCTCGGTTCTGTAAGTGTAACCTTCTCTTGCTGCCACTAAAACCTGCCTCGAAAGCTAGCTGGAGTGAAAAAATCGCCTGTTCGTGGCGAGGCCTGCGAACCAAGCTTGGAGTTTGTCTGGAACTGCTCAATGAGGTTCATGTCCTGGGCCCAGATGAGAAATCGAATTTGGGATCGCGTGGCGTATCGTCGCGTGCTGCTTTCTTTTTCCCGTTGCTGGGAGCAAGCATCGTGACCCGGACTTCACACCCATGTACGCCCCCGTGCTTTCACACCGGTTCTCAAGCGGCCTCATAAAACACCAAGCACCTCTCATTTTCCAAGCAATATTCCACAATGCAAACCCAAGACAAACCCAAGAAAAAAAGACAACTCCCAAAAAAACAAACCCAAGATCCACAGCACAATCCGAAAACCAAAAGCACACACAAATCCTCACCCTAACCCATTCCTAACGAGGTATGCCCATGAATCGCATGGGGCCTGGGGTCAGCGATCCCAGTAGAAAATATCGAAAAACAATGCAACCCTGAGTTTAAAATGTCATTTGCCCTTGTAGATAAACTACCGATTGCCCTTCTTGTGAATACCGGTTGCTTGTCAATTGCTTGCCTCGCTCCGTCTTTAGCTTGCTTGCCTTGTCTTGCCTTCGCGCATCCTGATCGGTGCTTTGTCCTCGTGCTTTGCCGCTGCCTCTCATATTGCTGTATCCCTGCCACCCTTGCTTTGGTTTTGCCATGACATGAACCAAGTAAGTTGTCTGCTATGGTATGTTGGACGATCCTGCGGCCCCATAAGCTCATGACATCGTTGACTTTAGCGATTGTCTGGTTGGGCGCGTTGCCAGTTGCAGTGTCTCGTTTGCTTTGAATAATCGCTCATCAACGTCTTTTTCCTAACTATACCTACTGTAAGAGCATAATAATTTGATGGTTTTGCTAAACACAGGTCGACATTAAAAAAAAAAGTTTAGACTATATAGAAATGACATGTGAAAAGGAGCGAAGAATAGAAACAATGCAACACAACAGCCCAAGAATGTCAACAGAAAATATAATGCTACTGATTGGTGATATTGAGGGGGCACAATAGCTATTTCACCTTCCTACTGCATAGAAAGACGTTCCACGATCCAATCATGCTTGCCCAACTGGTAAGATAAGCATTCACACTCTTTCTTTAGATTTGTCTCGGCGATGTTGCGCTCTGCTCCTGCTACATCCTCTTCTTAGCAAACGCATTGTATCATTGCTTTCAGTTGCTTCCGCTTGCTCGATCATCGATCTCCTCTCTTTCTCATTAATCTGATGCTCGACATCTATGCCATAATGCCATAATTATTTGCATCGTGTTCTCGCCACTTGTGTTATATCTTCTAGTACATGTCCTTCTGGTGGTGGCCTGCAACCATCGTCACAATCTTCTTTCGCGGATGGTTGAGCGGAACCATAAGGAGTTGTATTTTGCCTGGACATACATCTAAATGTTTGTGTAATATTGCCCCATATATCTTGGTTACCAAATTATCTGGCAAAACGTGTACCTTGTGTTTGTCATGTCAATGTCCTCTTTTTCCTAACCCTTGCCGCAGTCTGTCTTGGGAATGGATCACTGTTTATTTTCGACTGGTGGTTTCCATCTTTGGCTTTGGTTGTGGGGGTTTAGATATGATTTGGAACTGTGTTGTGGATTATGCTGCTGGGATATTGGGAGTTGCCGTGTGTCTTGGATGGTGGGCACGGAGGTTATAGTAGGTGGATTGAAACATGATGTAAAAGCGTGACAAGGGCAATGCTGTGACAGTGGGGTGTTCCGTGAGCTTGCAAGTTGCTGATTGCCATCAAGCGTCCTCAAATTTCTCAGCCAAATCATTCCATTCGTCCTGCCATGTAGCGAGCACTTGGCATGCAGGACTTGTATCCGTTTCTGTGAGTGACCACACAGCCGCGAGCATGAGGTCCGAGTCCTCGGTCATCAACGTGCCTGAGAGGTTGAGCTTCACATCCTGAAGAATGCTCCAAATTCAGCGATGCCTGCTGAGCTTTGTCTTGCAGAGTGCTCCTCCAGCTTTCCAACTGGGACTCGTGGTGGAACACTGGGTTGACTGCCAGGCTGGTCTGCACAGAAACAGAGCCGCGAGACTCACAAGGAAATCTGGCAGGTCGAACAGAACACCTCGCCTTGCTGGCCTGTCACCTCGGCAAGCATCTTGCATCCGATGGCTTACACCAAGGCCCATCAGTTTGCCTGCATGAACTTGAACCCTCATGCAGCCTTCAGGACTGGACCTGACGGCCGGCAGCAACTGCCTCAGCCTATCAGACAAGAGTGTAAGCGAGCTCATCTCTCGTCCGTGGCTGCCGGCACGATTTTCGAAGGTTTTTATGAGCATTACCGTCTGCTGAACCTGTAGAAGAAGAACTTAAACTTGTGGCGCCTCCAGTTTTGCAGCTGCTAAGTTGGCACGCGCTGCTGCCAACTCTGCCCGTGCTTTTGCCAGGATCGGATCCTCGCCTGGACGAACCTCCAGGGGGTTGGGCTTTGGGTGTTCAAAGTCCAATAGCAGTTCACGGCGCAAGCCTCCACCTGAATCTCCGACCCGAATGCATCTTCGGCTTTCTTCACCTCTGCCGCCTCTGATGCCTCTCGCTGAACGCGAGCAGCCTTCACTTCCTCCTGCTGAACAGCCAGTACATCCCACAGCTCGCCAGCAGACGTGGCAGTGAGCCCCAGCTAGGCCTCCTCCTGTGCAGCTTCACGCCGCAGAGCCTCCCACCGACCCGCCCAAGCAAGTCTAAAATCTCTGGCAGGCAGCAGCTGGTCGCACTGTTAGCCTCAGCCTGAGCAAGCAGCGCTGCGACCTGAAGCAAGCTTCACATCACCATCACGTGTGCTGATGAAAGCGGAAAGCCTCAACAGGGGCCTCATCGGCATCTTCCGCCCGCAACCAAACTCGAACGTGTCTGTGCTGTGGATGCACTCCAACAAAGGCGAGACTCGCCTGCTCGGAATGGAGAAAGTGATGCTTCGAAGCTGCTCAGGGTACACAAGCAGACACAAAGCATGCACGGAGTTTGAGGTCAACCTCTTCATCTGGCTGTAGACTCCACGCCACCAGGCACCGGCCCAACAACGCTGCACCTCACTGTCACACTGTTTTGCTGCAGGTCCGGACACACTGCATGCAGCAACGCAGCAAGCACTGTAGGCACTCACTCATGCACGAGACCCGCTTTCCATGCTCATGGTCTTTCTCATTCTGAGGAGTGGACAGGCGAAGGGCAATAGTGATAAGGCTGACAGCTTTGGACTTTGACGCCGACCCCCCATCATGGTGTATCTAAGTCGAGTGGTTTGTCACGGGTCTCGAGGCTCCTGTGCTTGCTGCTGTGCGCTCACTAATGGCACGCAGCTCGTTGAACCTAAGGCTTCTCAGCACCGTGCGGCCAAGACTAAAGGTTGTTACCGAAGCTTGACCAAAATGCTGAGGCAAAGCCCGGCATCCTGCAAATGACTTCCAGATGCTGTCATAGGTGGTTCGAACATGTCTCTCGACAGACACTATGAGCCTCGAGTAAACAGTAAACTCATGCTGTCTTCCATCTGGTATGGGTCAGGCAGACTGGATGAAGCAATATGCCGCGAGTCACTGGACGCCGACTGAGCATCTTGTGAGTCTGTGCACTGCTTCGAGCCGGCAGCTAAAGAGAGAGACGAAACCCAAGTCATGGCTGGGGCTTCTGCCGGCTAGGGTGGCATGGATGGGGAAATAGCGAGAAGTAAATAATGGAGACTCGGTCTCCGTCCCACAGCCAAAATCAGCCAAACAGGATTTTTCACGACGGCTAAAGAGATTCAATCTTGCATGTGAATTATATAGTTGGATCACATCTATCGACTGGACCCAACAGGCCCAACAGATTCCCAAAACGCTGCGTTCTCAGAACTCTCGCACAGCACCATGGCTTGCTTCACACACGGGCCGCGCAGATGCCGGGTACGCCTGTTGCCTCACACTTGCCACAGCACCCCTGGATGTGGAAGGCATCCTGGTGGCACAGCTCGCACGGCTCTCCCCCACATCCGTGGCATCGCTCGTCCATGCATGTCTCCACGAAAGCGTCTTCGCACATCTTGGGGGACTTGGGGGCAGTCGTGAAGTGCCGATGGTCTTGGCAGCACTGGTGCACCGCTGCTGCTTCTTGGTGACAAAGCTGGCATTGTTCTCCAGAGCACCCAGCGCATTTCTTGTCGATGCAAGTGCTTGCATCAGCCTCGCACACGCAGGTAAGCCCTTCGGCACCATACAGGTCAGCACAGAGGTCAGCGTCTGGCTGCTCCACCTTGCACATCTCTGGCTGCGCACTTGCATCGTACGTGGCACAGCACTGGGCGATGCGGGTGGCATCCTCGCGGCAAAGGTCGCACTGCTCCCCACCAAAGCAGTGGCATTGCTCTTCGATGCAGGCCTTGGTATCCTCCTCAACGTCAGCATCGTCGCATATTTTGGCGGCGTGGTTGAATGCCAATGCTTGTCACAGCACTGACGAATGCCAGTGTTGGCATTGCCCGCCACCGCAACCGCGGCACTCGTTCTGGATACAGGTGCTTGAGGTGAAGGCCTCATAAGGCCTCCACAGGCCGGCGCCGGGGTCAGCAAGAGCATGCAAGGGCCAAGGCAGGACAGATGGCGGCGAACAAAGAAGACGAACAGCCATAGCTGACGGGAGAAGTTGGGAACACTATAACTGTAACCGAGCAGGCGCTTGAACCAAACTGTGCCAAAGGATTGCTTCCGATCAGGTGTATTTTCAAAAGCACTGCAGTCAAATAAAGTTTCGACAGCCCGTGGCCTTTTTCAAGTCTCATTCAGCGCATATTGGCTCAGCAACTTCTCCAGTCTTTGCTCCGGGTTTTCGATGAGATCAGGATCAACCTTCAACTCCAAGGCATCTCAACGTGAAGGCAACGCCATGAGGCCCCAAGCTTCAGACATTAGCATTTGAAAGCCTCCAGAACTTCGCATCCACGGGGAACAAGGGCCGGCAAGCAGAACTTGTACCTTCTCCTCGAGTTGTGGCAAAAGCCGGAGTCATTCAGCTGAGACTTCCTACTGCTGCGGGGCACAATGTGTTCTCAAGGATGGTGACCTGAGTCTACAGATCGACAAAGCGCTCGTTTTCTCACTCCTACAACTGGGAAGGTGCACAGAGGCTCCATGCCTAACCAGGGTTCGGGCAAGAGCTCGCGCGCCTGTTCCCTCTTTGGCAGCCTTCTGCGCGACGGTGCGCAAAGCCGCATCCGTGAAGCGGAGCCTCAGTCAAGAATCCAAAATCGGAGTCGAAAGCACAGCTGCAAAGGAGGGCCCTGCCCGTCGCGACTCCAAGCTCGGAACTCGATTCCGTAACGGCGGAAGTCGTCTGTGAGCTGGGACGTTGCCTGTAGAACGCTTTCCCCAGGAGAACACAAAACAATATCTAACGCTCCCGATGGATCCCCTTGGACTGCTGACAAGCTGAACCATTTGCTGAACAATCGCAGCATGTCGCAAAAGTAAGACCGGTAACAAAGCTTCCTTGCCCCCAGGTTGCCCCATCTTCTGCTGTCCTGGGACAAGCAGCGTTGAGGTACGGCAGTCACGAATGCAGTGCAGCGATTGCTCCATGTTATGGAAGCAGGCCAATTACATCATATTCGCAGCAGAAGTTCGGTCGGTGACTTCAACACCGTCAGCAAACGTGAATAAAGCTTTGGCTGCAGCTGAGCTGCGTCAACACCTGGAACAGATCCTCGTCTGAAAGTGCTTGCAGCGCAACGCGCACTGGCAAGCGGCCCACGAATTCCCTTTCCATGCCAGCTTTGACAAGCTCTTCCTTAGCTCTGCCAACACTTGCCCGAGTCCAGCAGCAATGCTCGTTTTGCAAATGATCCGGTTTCGAATTGACACGCGTTGATCAGTCTTCCATGCGAAGCTCAGAGTCTCGGGCAGGAGTAGATGACACTGTCGAATGAACAGGAACATTGTTTGCTGCAGGAACAAGAGGAATATTCTGCGGAGCTCACATGATCACATAGCATTACGTCCAACACCGACCACTGAATGGCAACACATGGTCCCAAGCACTCGCAGTTTGCTCCGGAGACCCATCAAGTCGGCCTGTTGAGGCTGATGGACACACACACATAGAGAGACAAATGTGCCAGCTCCCACGAGGTAGCAAGCTGCATTCATCCAAGCTTCAGTGTCGGCCTGCGGCACGGGTCGAAGGGCCAATGTTTCTGGTCTTAACGAACACGACAGTACAGACCTGAAGTTTGCTTCGTCGAAAAACCAAGAAATGAGCAACGGAACGTCTCCCCCCCCCTCGCCCCTGGTGTATCAAACCGCCCTCTGCTGCTGTGCAGCTCGGCCTTGTGCAGCATCGACCGGACATCTTCAGCCTTCTCTGCTGCTCCAGAAGTGAAACCGAAGCCCTTCATGTCGCGGATATGATCCTGCGGCGCGTTTAAGCAAGGGATGCACAATGTACATGCATTGAGGACTGTGGGCATGCTCATGTACCAGACTCAAGCATGAAAACAGAGCATCGCAGCACAAACTGCAGCTGGTACCTACCAGATGTCGGTTCAGACTTGTTCAACGTCCCAGTGCCAGAGCATGACATACAACCAGCATGAGCTCGGCCATCAGCAACCGGTGGAACTGAGAGAAGTCTTTGCACATCCGACTGTGGCGCATCGCGTTAAGTTTCACACATACAATTCGGTGACCGGCACTGGTACATGACCGAAACATGATTGCGTGCTGCATAAACTGCATGCTCGCACAAAGCAATTGGACGAAGCCGACCCATTTGCGCATCTCTCAAGATCCGAGGAGCTTCGAACAGGGCACAAGCTGTGCAGTGTCAGAGGGTCTTTGCAAAAGCTCAACAAACTCGCAATTCGAGGTCTGTACGGGAACTTCGAGCCCAACCGGCACAGACACTCTTCCCCCGATACATGTTTCGAAACGAGTTCTTGGGATTTTACCCACCTGGCTGAAGAAGCCCCAATTAAACGGGGCAGCCTCCTTGAGCTTCTCATCAAGCTGGCTGAAGGCACCGGAGAAAACGAACAGCACATGCCTACACAAGCACACATCGACCGTGGGTGCCCTCTTTCGTCTGGAATGCACAGGGTGTCAACCTCGTGATTTTTGGGATGTTACAGCAAGGCCTTCACGGAAGCATTGGACATCCACGACAGCACAACAGACCCTTCCATTCCCTCGGCTTTACTTCTCAGAATACCTTTTCATACTTTCTCGCTACCGCTACAGTGCAACCTGTGACACAGCACTGGTCCAGAAGCGATAGGTTTCTCAGCTCATCCTGCCTTGTTGACATCTTGGTGCCCTTGTCCCCACCCATGGCGCCGAGAACCAAACGTGGCCCTTGACCACCCACCGTAACTTCGGTGTCCTGCTTTCTGAGCAAGGTGCAAACCCCGTCACCTAGCGGCCTTGCGCCTGCTGCCTTCGAAAGCAGGCGCGTCCTCCATGAGCTTCAAGAACGTGCTTTGCGTGGCCCGCCTTCCAGAACTACGGGCAGGGGGGTTTGGAGAATCGGTGGGCAGTTCCAATCAAAGTCCTCGAATTGGCGTGAGTCGTTAACATCTTCTCGCGCACCCGGAGTTACTTGCTACTTCCCGTCAGACAACATCTTCTGAGCATCCGAGAGGCTGGCCTGAAGGAGGAGGTGCGCCCACCTCCCTCGGAGCAGACTTTGTCGATCTCGTCTACATAGACAATGCCCACCTCTCGAGTAAACATCATGCCAGGTTCATGACACAATTTGAGTCTACTTGAAATGCCTGAGCAAGCTCGACATCGCCGTCTGCAGCTTGCAGCAATTCGCTCATCACCTGCAGCACTCTCCATACGTGAGCCTAGTGACGATTGCCCAGAAGCCTTGAAAAAGGGAAGACAAGCCCTTGGGACTGCAATGTAAGTCCGGCCACAGTGTCCTGAAATGTCCTGGAACAGCCCGCCCCAACCATGACTTAGAAACAATGAACTTTTCACTGCGTAGCTGAGGCACCTCGTCTGCATCACGTCCAACATATCCGGTCTCTGTGAACTTGGTCGCCTCACCAACACGCTCGCAGCTGCTCTGCTTGACAATCCACGAAATCAGCAGTTGAAAGAACTTCTGCGGCATCCACCAGCAAGCCGCGACAGAAAGGGAGTTCCAGACTATCTCAGGCCCGTGCATCCGCTTTCACAAACGGAACACCAATGAGGTCCTAAGCCATGCTGGGAGCCCCTTGTGCAGCAACGAACTTTCAAAGCTCGGCAGAATCGAGCCGAGCAGCAGCCAGGTTTCTAAGCAAGTAAGTCTTTCCACTGCCCGTGGGACCCAGCAGCAGGATGTTCGGCTTGGTGTAGTTCTTCACCTTAGAGGAAGGCGCAGAAAAGAAGAGCCCCCAGGCGCTTGCAGCCCACTTCTCAGAGCCCTTCTCTTTGAGCCCGCGGCCCGCTTGGGCTTCGAGAGCGTGCTTTTGGCCGCTCGGGTGAAGAGTGCTTTGACCTCCGCCTGAAGCTTCGGAAGATCCTCCGACTCGTCGAAGTGGCCCTCTCCGGAATCGTCTCGGTATGTCCGCTTCTCCAGATCGATCTCAAAACGCTCCACGTGCTCCAGCTCGGGCTCCCCGTTCACATACTCGGCGACTTGGTCCTCCTCAACCTGGAGCAAGATTACCTGTCAAAGTGTACAGTCATGGCAATGCAAGCACGACGACACCAGCTGCAAAAACCTAAGTCTGGTCAAGCTGCATCTCCATCGGTGTCGGTGAACTGAACTTTGTCCAGCCCATCATTGCTGGAGTCCACCTTGGCACCTCGCATGCCCGGAGATCCGCAAAGAGTTTTGCTCAGTCTCTTCGGCGGCCTGTCTCCGCATCAGCAGGACTTTGCCTCATCCGGGATCGACAACACAAAAGAGCGTCATGTGAGACCCGAAGTTCAAGACATCTTTAGGACGAGCTCCATCCCCCAATTGCCATCAGCGAGCTGTTGCAAACTGCTCAATGCCATACGAATGACAAGACTCTCACATGGAGCGAGATCTTGCAGCAGAGACACTCCGAAATCTCACCAGGCGGATCAGCCTGCTTGGCCTTCTCTTGCACAGCTTCCTGCAGGTACTTCGCATTCCAGGCAGTTGGGTCTCGTCTGACTGGTGCGTGACCGTGACAGCGACACCGCCACGGACAGTCTCTGAATATGTCCTGTCCTACTGAAAAGATAGCTAGACATCTTTGAAAAGGTGGAAGATGCGGGCCTCGAGAGATGAAGACTCCGCAGTATGTACAGCATCTGAAGTGGAAGTTTCAGCCTGGCAGGGACCGGAAGGCCGTCTGCCCGGGTCTAAAGATGCACGCGTTGCCAGTGAGAGGATACTCCAGGGTCGAGATCCAGGTCAGGCCTCAGCCACACCTTCGCTGGCCTTTGAGGCCGCTGCAGGCTTTTCTTCTGGCTGATCTTTCTCCAGCTTCTCCTTACGAA